AATAATCAATGGAGCAAAATCTCACAATTCTGTGTAGAAGTTTATTGTTCCAAATTTAGCTCTACCAGATAAGGCAAAATCGGTCAAGAAATGAGGGAAAAGAAGCAATTTTTGTTATTTTTGGAATAAAATTGCATAAATTACCATAATTAATTAATGGAGAACAATTTCAAAATTCTGTGTAGAAGTTTAGTGTACCAAAGTTAGCTCTACGATATAAAGCAAACCAAATCAAAATCGGTCGAGAAATGAAGGAGAAGAAGCCTTTTTTGTGATTTCAAATAAATTTGCATAAATTAGCATAGATAATGAATTTCACGATTCTGTGTAGAAATTTTAAATTCCCTCCTAGCCCTATCATATGAAACAATCAGAATCAAAATCGGTTGAAAAATAACGAAGAAGAAGCATTTTGAAAATCTTAATGTTGATGCCACAACAAAGTCTAGGTTTGTTGACCTTAACTGGCCTTTGACCTTAACTTAGTGACCTGAAATTCTACTCACATGATTGGGGAGACTTGATAACCCTATAGTCCAAGTTTCATTGACTAAGAACTTATACTTTCAAAATTATATCAAAAATTCAAAAACTTAACCTTAGGTTAAGTTTTCGATGATGATGCTACAACATAGTCCAAGTCTGTTGACCTGAAATGACCTTTGACCTTGACTTTGTGATCTGAAATTCTACTCACATGATTGGGGATACTTGATTACCCTATAGTCAAAGTTTAATTGAATAAGAACTTATACTTTAAAAATTATACCAAAAATTCAAAAACTTAACCTTAGGTTAAGTTTTTGATGTTGACGCCGTCGCCGTCGCCGTCGCCGTCGCCGTCGCCGCCGCCGTCACCGGAAAAGCGGCGCCTATGTCTCGCTTTTTGCTACGCAGGCGAGACAAAAACGAAACCGAGAATTATCGTGAGCACTTTTTTTTTTTTTTTTTTTTTTTTGCTCAGTGGCGGATCCAGGGGGTGGGTCCGGCCCCCCCCCCCCCCCTGGATCCGCCACTGCTATACACTCCTTAAATGACTTTGCATTTCTGGTCATTTGAATAAGTGAGAAATTCCCCAGATATGTTAATTTGCCGAATTATAAGTTGATCAGGGCAGATCGTAAAGGAATAAGAGGTGGCGGCGTTGCTTTATATATATTGCTCAAAATTTTAAAATTCAAAATCCGTTCCGATATAAACTGACACAAGCAGAATTATTTTGATTGAACTCGAATCTCACAAATGTCATTATAGGTTTAATTTATAGACCCTCTGACTCTAATTTTGATGTACTCTATGATGAACTGGATATATATCTTGATAAAATAGGGGATGAAAACAAACATATTTTTGTGCTTGGGGACTTTCAAGATAAAGACCAGTTCTGGTCATGCGATTGCACGGTGAAAGAAACGTTGTGGTATCGATCAGAAAAGGTTGATCATCTAGTATATAAGTATTGGCGATTTTTCCCTCAAAAAACGGGACACACACACAAAAGGTGCTCTTACCAATGCTCATTTCTCAGACTATCTTTCCGAGCAAAATCAAGAGTCTATCTCAGGGGCGGCCGAGCGACCTCCAAAGTGGGAGGGGGGCACCAAGAAAAAGGGCACTTTCTGGAGAAAAAAAGGGCACCTACAAAGGGAAATCTCAAAGCGAAAATATACCATTTTTAGACATTGGTATACACCCCTACATTGTGATTACAATTATCAGGAATTATTTCAATATTTGTTTCACTTCATAAACCATACAAGATATTGCTTAAGCATCATGATTTGCAGTTGGGTTTGATTGTCTAAAAAAATTGATGCGAGCGAGGAAAAATTGTAAGATGTGTGAGGTCGCAGTGCGAAAAAATTACATCTTATAAAGAGGAACAAACCCAATCCTAAAGGGATTATTTATAAGCACATTCTCATAACGGAAGACTGAAAAGACCTTTAATAAGTAACATAAGTATGAGTGCACTTTTTCGGGTGCTTGAAAAAGTGGGAACACTGTGCCCCCTGCATCCCCCCCCCCCCCGGGAGGGCCGCCTCTTGTCTATTTTCTGAAACTCAACAAACCCCAATTAAATTATTAAAATTATACGATCAAAATCTCTTGGTTGCGATATAATAAGGCACTGTTTTTTTTTGTTGCATATACCACATGTGTTAAATAAAACTATAAAGAAGTATCCCCAGCCATTAAAGTAATACGAAATAAGGGAATTATTATCCATTGTACATCCCGAGGATGAGACATTTTACATGTATTTTAAAATTCTTTATGTTTTAGATTTTAATACTAGTAACAATCATCCTTAAGCACTATTTGTATTAGGAGGCTGTTTTATAAAAAGACAACACTGTTAAATGCTCTTAAATAAGTATTTATTTATTTACTTGATGACCTATTGATGGGTGGATGGATTGATTGGTTGATTGATTGATCTCAACTCTTGCTGTGCCGATATCACAGGTGACAAACAGTGTAGGTATGTGGATACCAATTAGATGTTCGGAGCGTAAAATCAAGTATTCTAGTTATCTTGGAAACATTATAGATTCATAGAATATAATTTTGTTCAGGATCCTTCAAATTTCTCTTTTTAAAGATAAACGATGGTTAATGAATAGGAAAGAAAAAAGGGACAAGCAGTATGAAAGCCCATTTATATTTCACACTAGCTTATACAGGCGCGCCGGAAGCAGTTTGGGATTGGGGGGGGGGCAAACATTCCAGGGGGCTCACATTCCAGGGGCAGTGACGTAATGAGAAAAAAAGTTCGGAAGGGGGGGGGGGCAGACGAAAAATCTGCATCACCACCAGTCTTACACGTTACATGCAGGTCCCGCGGAACGTTTTTCAAAGTGGAGTATTATCGATCAGGTAGAGCGTAAATTGGCGTGGGGTCCAGGGCATGAGCCTCGGCAGGGGGTCAAGGGGCTGAGCCCCCGGAAGCTCAGGGGTTTTAGGTATTTAATTACGGTCAGATGAGCATCCAGGGGCCCGCCTTAGGGCCCTTGGTGGGGTCCAGGGGGCAGAGCCCCCGGAAGCTCAGGGGTTTTAGGTATTTAATTAAGGTCAGATGAGCATCCAGGGGGCCGCCTCAGGGCCCTTGGTGGGATCCAGGGGGCAGAGCCCCCAGAAGCTCAGGGGTTTTAGGTATTTAATTGAGGTCAGATGAGCATCCAGGGGGCCGCCTTAGGGCCCTTGGTGGGGTCCAGGGGCAAAGCCCCGGAAGCTCAGGGGTTTGAGGTATTTAATTACGGTCAGATGAGCATCCAGGGGGCCGCCTTAGGGCCCGTGGTGGGGTCCAGAGGGCAAAGCCCCGGAAGCTCAGGGGTTTTAGGTATTTAATTAAGGTCAGATGAGCATCCAGGGGCCCGCCTTAGGGCCCTTGGTGGGGTCCAGGGGGCAGAGCCCCCGGAAGCTCAGGGGTTTTAGGTATTTAATTAAGGTCAGATGAGCATCCAGGGGGCCGCCTTAGGGCCCTTGGTGGGGTCCAGGGGGCAGAGCCCCCGGAAGCTCAGGGGATTTAGGTATTTAATTAAGGTCAGATGAGCATCCAGGGGGCCGCCTTAGGGCCCTTAGTGGGGTCCGGGGGCAGAGCCCCCGTAAGCTCTGGGGTTTTAAGCATTTAATTACGGTCAGATGAGCATTTTTTATACCTTATTTGTGACATTGGCAGGTCACTTATTTTTTTCTCCGTCTTTCTTTCTTTTTCTCTTTAACATACTTTTTCAAAAAGGAGGGGGGGGGCTCGAGCCCAGCCACTTTGCAGACCATGACATAAAGGCTTCTAAATAAGCGTATTTCGCCCGACTGTAATTTGGGAATTTCTTATTTTCCAACAAACGCATAAGAAGGTATGACTTACAAAAAAAATGGAGAAAAAATGCCGGAAAATCATGTCACAACATCAACATTTGTATATCACTTGTTTCGAATAAGAAATACATCACCCCCCCCCCCCCCCCATCAGTACGCCAACGTTCAGGGGCTCATGTCTTCTCACCCCTATAACAAAAAAACGGACACGCTTTCCCATTCTCGCACAATATGTCCACGATATGCGCGTATCGCTATTATAGAGACCTCCATTGATAAATACCGTATAGGTGGCATGCGCAATGTTTATGAAATTTAATTCCTGTGAACTTTCCTTTTTCTTTGAATGGAATTGTATATGTGATTTAATTCAGGTTTTTATTATTGTTACGTTCTTTTGGATTAAAAATACAAACCATGTTTACTCCTTTACTGTTTTTTTTTTTTTTTTTGGAGGGGGGGGGGGGGCGTTTTGGGGGGGCAAAAATGCGTTTTGCCCCCCCACTTTTTTGACTGGGGGGGCAACTGCCCCCCCTGCCCCCCCCACTTCCGGCGCCTATGAGCTTATAAGTATGTCTCTCCTTAAAGAACCTTCCTTGGCGATCTGATTAATGTATACGATATCTTTCCGTAGCGAAGCTGAGGCAAGATAGCTACATCCAGATCGCCTAGGAAGTGATAGTTTATCACATCACCTTCACCAATGGTAATTATTTGCTTACTAGCCACGCCTCATGAAAAGGATTGCTCTTGATTTACTCTCACACTCAAAGGTGACTGGAGATGTGACAACTTCAATGCTCACGTCTCACACTCGCTTTACACTTAAATGTTCAACAAGATGTAACCAATTACTTAATTTTAACGATTCCAAATTGAAAACATACACGTTCTTATCCACTATACATAATCAATCCGGAATGTTTCTTTCACAATCAAGATGCATGAACACAGCCCATCATTACATACATTCATGATATTAAAACTACCTGTATTTCTTCTGGATTGTCCCCGTCATCCTGCATGAAATGGCTTATACTGAACATGTACATGTATAAAACTGCATATACTGTATTTCAAATAAATGAGGGGGGGGGGGATAACAATAAAAACGAAAAACAGAAGAAAAATAACTGCATACAGTATAACAATAGAAAAGAATACACAAAAATCTTTGATTTTTCATCGGTAAAGAGATGAATTTATTAAATGCAATGATAGGGGCAAAGTACATTTTAAAAATCACGTTTTTCACATTTACAAGACAGAAAAACAAAACATGAAAGGTTTTTTCCAAAGAGGAATGAGAGGAAAGATTGGAGGTAAAAGAAACACAAACTTAGAACTTCAGATCAATACGAACAGTGTTGGTAAATGGGATGTATCAGAGAATGAAATTTCACTTGTTTTTGATAACTATAGTAGTTAAATCCAACCTGCAAATGATGGTGTACCAGTTCAATAAAGGTATGGTGTAAATGTATTCTCAAATACATGACATTTAAACTGTCTAAAGTATGACATCATCAGTATTTTGAGTTCAATTTCACCATGCTTACTCTGATCTAGTTATCTCATCATTATCATTAAAAAAAGAAACTGATAAAATACAACTCTTGTATTCTCCTCTTGAATGGTGTTCTGATGACTTTATTGTGCAGAAGATTTCAGTTACAACATAAAGTTAGTACTCCATTCAAGAAAATATGCGGCCCTGCACCTAGGACAAGATATGACAGGTGCAATATAGCATAAATGCAAGATCTTAAAAGCAATATAAAGGTCAAACTTTATTAAACAAGGGCCAGTCTCCCTTGGTCGGCCTGAAACATGTATGCTATATGAAGTACAAATGCCACTTTCTTCTAAAGATACACATGTGTGGCATCACTACATTATTTGATCATGATAATGCACATGCGTATGCAATGTTTGGTTGGTTAAACAAAAACAAGAAACGAACTACAACAATTTGAATGATTAAAACAGATGTATGTGTTACAACCAAGGTTGCTTGCTCTTGCATTTTCTAAAGGCACATACACGTACATGTCTAAGATTGGAGTCAGAGAAATGCACATACAAGTGTACATATAAATGGGCATGTGACATGTACACAAAATTGATCATGAAGTGGAGATATATGTGTAAGACATCAAATAAATGAGTAATGTGTACATTCAATACTAAAAAGATAAACATTTATTGTCATGACATGGGTATAAATGGCTTTGTTCGGTAGCTCATGTGATTATTTACGTTTATCATTTTTACAAGGATAGTTTCTACAAAAATTCAAAACGGGCTGCAAAACACATACATACTTCTGCAATGATACAAACAATGATTTGATACTTGCATTCACAAAATTTGTGATAAAATGATGACAGACCTAAATGTATGGTGTAAGAATCTTTGTACATATCCCACATCAGAAATCGGATAAATTACATTATACTCCTCCATGAAAAAAAACATAGCCTCCAACCTACACTTTTGTACACATACATGTATCTAAAAATGACGCACAACAATTCAACTTTAACTGAATACTACATAAAAGAACAAGTGTATTGGAAACGTGTGCATCCATAAATGTACACAATATAAAATGCTTGAATGATCCGAAGCAAAACTGCCCTCTGAAAAATGTAAATGTTAAATGATAGTACAGCCTTCTGGTCATAGAATACAATAACCCTCCCTATTTGTATAAACTTTCGAGTGTAATTGTAAATAACAAAATAATCTTGCCTCCACTTACTAGACTTATCTGTAAGATACTAGTAGTGCATGAAATGAAAATCTAAAGTGACCACTGAACAACTGGTATTGAATCTACACATTATATTTTACGATACATTTTCCATTCTCGTAGAAGTTTTGATACTAGACATCAAAGAAGTGCAATGAGGAAAACAAATTGATGGCATTTTACTGGGCATGTGGACTGTTGGAGAAACAGAGCTTGAAAATGTAAGGCCATTTGCCACCTGTATTGAAAAGGGGGAAAAAGAGGAAAATATTAAGACACCAAATGAATCTCATTCCATCTATGACTGTCGGAAGAGTACCTAAATAGTAGATAGATAGATATCTTATTTCTTATTCTGATGTGGAAACATATCACACTATAATGAGAAGGGCAACACTTGAAATGCTTTTATGCTTCACTTCTTGCACCCAGAGATTTAGTCACATATTTACAAGTGTACTCTCATATGTCCATACCAGGGTACAGTTCATTTTAGGGAATTGTGATTACCAATCAGATTTATTAGTTTTATTATTTTGTAATGTCCTGGAACCTCATGTCATGTCATTATAAATGTTGGAGCAAATTCTGAGGTAGTGAGTGAGTGAGGATTGACTTACCAGGATTCTCCATGTTGGTGTGGTTAGCCACACAGAGGGCTTCCACTGCAGAGGCTCGGTCATTCCATTCGGCTAATCCAGTCCTGCTTCGGTCAGCTATAAACAGGAAAACAATAAGGACAAAGATTACTTGGAAGTTTACTCAAGAACCAATTAGAGGTTTACGAGAGATTCTACAAAGATTCAAATTGGACTATTTGGCCTGAATTTTCTTTTTAAAGCAGGACTGCACTACTTGCGCCCTCTATTAGCCAACAATGCCTAAGCAGTACCCGTTGATCCCCCATGGTACCTTTTTTATGTTAATTGAGAGCTGATTGAATGAGAAAACCATCTGCTAGTGACCACGTAGGGAGGTCCAACCCCTCCTGGTCGAGCTAGTTCAGATAGGCTTTAAAAGACACATGAATGTTGAGATCCATCAAACGGGTAAAATCCACATACTTTTCAAACTGCTGATTAAAGTGTTCTGTTACCACATCCGACAGATGATGTGTACATTGGCATATGACAAACAAGTGAAAAGTTTTTTTAATTGTTTTGGCAGGCAAGTGTAGGGTGCTTTGCAATGCTGTTTAACTCAGACAGACATACACAGAGTAATGACTACATCAACATATTGCCATGTGCTTGAACACAGATTTCTGTCAAATTCCTATATTACTGTATTTTTATTGGTGAAGTAAAAACAACACTGTTGGATGAGGTATGGACTGAAATATGTTGCACAATTATATTAAAAGCATCAAAAATGTGTTTTGTTGATAAGTATATACATGCACATGTATGTTGTTTGTGAAACCGATCATTCTCTTCTAAGATTCAGAGACGATCGCAAGGTCGACTGTACCTAATTTTAGCATTTAATGTCTGTGTGTTATATAATGTACATGTTTTTGTAAACGAAAGTAACAGAGAAGATGTTAATATTGGAATAAAGAATGAAGAATAAATATTTGCACTCTACCTTTGGAGGAATCTTGCACCCGAGCTAAACATGGAGATAATAAATTTACAGAAATATCTTTAGGATTGTACAAAGTTATGCATCTTATATATGATAAGCTAGGAAATAACACATTCATTATGATTTCAATATATTTATTTGAAATTAAAATAACAGTAAATACCTGCTTCCTAATCTTTGTATTATGTCTACCGGTATACATCCTGAATGAAATTCTCCCCTTATATCATATTGTAAAGACGTAATAAAAAAATCAGATCCCTGCCCTTCCTTACAAATAATATGTCATTTACTTACAGCCTCTTACATTTGAAAAATAATCTGTAATGCATTTGAAATACTTCATGGATAACCAAACTTACAGAAGTAAAGTGTAAAGTGATTCTATTTAACTTCAAACACTTCATATTACATAACAAATGTTAGAAGACAATTACTTACACTTCTGGTCGAACATCTTCACAGCGGTCGGCTCTTTGGCACCAGCATTGATAAAGACCTAGAGAAAGGAAAAACAAAGATTTGAGGAACTCCTATACAGAATCATTTTTCACAAAAAAACTGAAGAAAATCATAGCACGGGTGGCTCTCATGAACTTAATATATCACGAAATTGAAATTTGTCTAGGGACATCACATAAAAAAGACATTCATCATTATCCCTTATGTAATATATTCCTAATTATGCAAATAATTTGGTCTGTCTGTTCTATCACAGAATGTCAGAAACTCAGTACATATGTAGGTTATTGTGTATGGCAACCAAATCTATACCCAAAAAATTTCTTCTGAATAAATAATTTATAGTTCAACTACAAGAAACACCTTTCAACGAAAATAACACCCTTCAATGATTGATAACGCTTTCTCTTTTCAGGAGTTAAAAGGGAATCCAAAACCTTGTTTGCATTCATCACATCAATGTAACTGACATACCTGCTTGATGGTCTGTGGAGTACTTTCTGGGTGGGCATTGAAGAAATGCAGAACTTTGGATGGCTGCTGAATACGTAATGAAATGAGTCAAGGAGAGCAACGCAGCATCAAACTTTTGTTATTGTAATTTTCACAAAGTTTACTACAAAACACATGAGGATACAATCTTAGCCTGATATAAAATATCATGGACAAAACATGTTCTTTTCTTTACAATGTGAAGAAGTACAATAACCAGTATCAAAATGATCTATGCCGCAGCCAAAGAAATATTATAGAATCTATCAAAATACAAAGTAAAATTTATTAATCAACTGCTTTTATATCTCTAACCCTCAATACATCAATGTGTATTTATATGTTATAACATTTCATCTACCTAGCTCTTTTATGAATTAAACCAAAAAAAAATCCTCAAATGACTTATGATTACAATCTAATTCTCTCTATCCATCCATCCAAAGATCAACAAGCTATAGAAAGGATATGGTTCTTGCTTGCTGCCTCCTTGTTCCTGAAGCGATTGTTGCGGCTCTTGGTGTAGTCCATGCAGGAAGGTGACCCATCATGAAGCTCACCTGGCACCTGAGACAAGGCAACGCAGTTCTGCTTGGAGAAGCTGCGCAAAACACACACAAAAAAAAGAATTTGCTATGACTATAGAGCTCCTGTAGACTCCTAGCAATGACAACTATTTGCAGTAATGTGTAACATAAAAGCGCATGATTGATAAAAAATTCTCCTTGGCATTTCGTTCTTCATTCATTCAATTTATGACACTTGAGATAGAATATAAGTTTGTTGTAGATGAATATATTGGGGGGGGGGGGGGGGGTTAATAATTTTTTCAATTCTCATTTGCTTACAATATTTCACTCAATACAGTGAAGCTCTTTTCTTTGTCTATTTTCACATCATAATACTGAAGATCAAGTTAAGTTTGTGTTTGTAACTATAGAAATGGAAATGATGAACTGTATCCTGAATTTTCTCAAATATTTCAGTCAGTAAGTCTAATGCCGACAAACAGGGAACTTACGAGAGCTGGACAGCAGAGCCAAAGAACTCAATGTTGCTGAGGTTAGTGATAGCTCTCTCCACAGACAGGGCATCTGACATCTCTGCCATGGCACAGCCAGGCTTACTCTTCATGAACTTGACCTGGGCAAGAAAACAAAAAAATACAAGAGTTTCATTGCAACAGACATGTCAGTTGAGTTTGTTACTTTTTACTTTTACCAATTGATTGTAGAAGATTATGAGTTTTGTATCTTGAAATAAATGTCACAAATGCATAATTGCGAAGATAAGAACCTACATTGCAGTATTTTGTATACATAAAATAATGATACTAAGAGCAAAAATGAGAACCTACATTGCAGTATTTGGTATACATAAAATAATGAAACTAAAAACTAAAACCATAGGTTTAAAAATGAAGGATGAAGATCAGCTTGCTTGTTGTCTCCAATGGTTACTTGTAGAGATATTCAAGTCCAACAATGTCACTGAATATACTTCATGATTTCACTCATGAATACAAATTTTATTTCATGCCAAGTAAGCACGCAAGCAGGTTTCTTCCCTATTAAGAAGTTAGTGTTAAATAGCATTAATGACTTGCAAGTTTGTACAACGTGGATAGTTCAGTATGGCCAAAATGGGGAGCAGTATGCTTTTTTACAGGAACATCGCCTCACCTTGATCACATTGCCATAGAGACACAAAAGGTTGAAGAGTTTGTCACAGTTCATCTGACCGGGGTTCATGTTGTAGACCATCACCACTGGATTACCATTGCCTAGCTGGTGCATCTGAGGGTCCTGCATGCCCATCATTTGGTGTCCACCTCCGTACCCACCAAAGTCCCCCCTGTCAGCCGGGTAGCCACGGGGGCCTCCTGGTCCAAAGCCCTGATCATGGAAACCTGGAGGTCCACCGCGTCGCCCACCCTGGGGTCCTGGACCCTGCATTCCTGCGGAGTGATCAATAATTAGAAGTGGAAAAAAAAAATTAATTCACAAAGAAGTTCAATGTAAACTCATTATAACAAAAATATGTGTAAAGGCAATGAATCTAATTCTCAATTTATTCAATTCAATTCAAGTTTATTTCCACATTTGGTTAAAAACAAAGAAACATAATCAACATGTGTTTATATATATATATAAGATAAAGTTTCAAAAGAGAGACAGGTCTATCAAGGTAATTCCAAGAATAAATATAATAACAAAATAGCTATACAAAAAAGATAATCAAAACATACATCAACAGCAAATATGAACACTACAATACAATAAAATAAAGAAAAAAAGCAAGTTAAGGTAAATTTAGTTAAGTTTATATACTATTGCACAATATCAACATTTCTTAGATCATTTTCAAACTTTATTCTAAATTTTGAATTCTCTTCTCTATCACATGTAGCTGTTCATTTATGACCTTTCTTTCAAATTTGCGTTTAATTTCTTCTGTTCAATAAAAGAATCAAACTTCACAGCCTACAAAATATATTGATCAGGTTATGAAGTTGGATTCCTATATTAAAGCCCCACCGTACTACTTGTAGCTACTTGCTCCCTCTACATAGAAAACAATGCCTAATCGGTGACCATTGGTCCCCCATGATCCTCTTTTTCTTATGTTAATTGAGAGCTGAGTTAATGAGATAGCCACCAGTCAGTGACCACCCTGGGCTGTCTAATCCTTCCTAGCCAAACTAGTACAGACGATCTTTTAAGTATTATCTCCATACACACATATAAGATACATACCATATTCTCCATACTGAGGAGGTCCACCTCCTGGACCCTCCCTCCTCATGGTGGTGGGTCCATTGTAAGCTGGTTCAGGGGGGTCATCAAGAAGGGCACGCCCTTGTGCAGCTGGAAACCAAACACACAATCAAATTAGTATACACTTATCTAGATTGGGATACTGTACTGACCCAATATAATCTTTGCCATATCATATCCAAAAGCAGAGGTTACCTTTTAATACAGAAGGGCAACACATTGTTCTTATTCCTTTGCCAGGGTAAAACCAACTTGAGACCCTGTTGTTAAAATGTGTACCAATTACCATCTACGTTATAAAAAGGTACAAGTGACCACCATTTTTTTTTTTTTAAATAAATCAAAGTACACTCATTTAGACCAGGATTGTTATTTAGCATTACTGAACAGAGAATCAGAGCAGAAACTGGAAATTTTAGAAAGACACCTACAAAAAGGCAATCATTTCAGAAATAATTTATTGGAGATTAATAAAAAGCTATGGCTTTTGATTTTCTCATTTCCAATAATCACACACAGACCACATGAAGCCACTCTAAAATGAAAAAGTAGCAGATATACAAGAATCTCATGAAGCAATGCCCAAGGAATTTGAGGTACAAATAAATTTCCTCAATTATCGTTGTTTCATTTTGGTAAACCAAAATCATTTAGACAATGAACTACCTTAACTACATCAATAAATATACCCCTCAATACTTCCTTCGCACTATTTAAATAAGAATTACCAAGACACCTACAACTTGTAATATCTAACAATTTATTCAGAACTGCTTACTAGAGAAAAATACTAACTAAATCACACATACATGTATTTTCAAGCTCTTGAAGCAAAAAGATATATTCCTGCAGACATCATGGGCAAGCCAAGTCAATCCTTGTCTTTCTTGTAGGCTGACATATGTACCACTTACTCTTGCTCTCTTGAATACAATATTACCTTCAATTGTACAAAAGAATTTAAGATTCCAGTGATATAGCCCTTGAATGATGTTTGACTTCATCTATGCCCCACAGAAAGATGTATCCTGGCTGAAAGGCGCCTCCTTGGGTGCTTTACAGCGATGTCGAAATCAGCGTTGCTTTCCCTTTGCCAAGGTTACCCCCAGGTGAATGCAGGGCTGGTGGAAAAGCTGGAGGAAGTGCCGTCCAGCCTGTTGAACACGAGGTACCGTACATCATGAGTGCTTTCTGTTATCTTTGTTTTGAGAGGGGCAGTGGTGATGGATCTTGAAGGCGTCATTTGAGTTTGAGGTGTCTCGTAGTAGTGTCTCTGCAGTTTATGTGCAATGTTCATATTCTTCTCTGACTAGGTATATGTACTCAGGGTCAATGACTGAAGTGTTCTTCCATGCATATTTTATAACCCATACTGTCCAATGTGTGTCATGTTCAATATTTCTTTTAACAGTCTCTCTGAAGCAAATAGTACTTACTTCTTGTACATGTATATACAATTTTGTAGATTATGGTGCATATTTGACATTGAATTGATATCACATTTATAATCAATATGACCTGTTCATAGTAAGACTCCATAGAACAAAGTTGACAATATGTACTGTTTCAGAGTGTCAAGATCACTATACAACTCTATCTGTTCTCGACAGAGTTCTGATATACAATGTACATTGCATGTTACCCGTTTCCCTTTTTAAATTATATACACAACTTTGTACAATGAGAATAATATGTCAAATAAAACATCTATTACAATATTTGATCTTTCTTTCTTTCTAAATGTCATAAATTTTACATGAACACTGGAAAACAGCCATTGCAAAGATTGAAATATGGCAATATTCCAGCACAGTAAAATTAAAACCTTTGCAATAGTATGGTGTGTGTAAAACTTTGAGAATACCTGATTGCCTTGTGAATTATTTTTTTTTTTGGTCTTAGTTGTCTTATTGCTATGGAAGAGTGGTATTCTTATGCACTTGTTAGGTAAAATAGATTTGTTTGTAAAAGTCCTTGCTAAACAGTGTCAGTTCATGGAAATTTTATTTTCTTGCTTTTCTTTCTCTTTAAATCAGAAAATGTGCATAGGTCTATGTTGTAATTTTCTTCTTTTTCTTCCTTTCACACCAATGATCTAGTAAAGATTGAAATGGCTGTTTCATTTTTCTCAAAATACAGAGAGAGAAATGAAGTATACTTACATGTACAATTTGAAATGTTTCAAAATAAAACTTACATACATTTGTACATACTGCAATGTAATTGTGAAGCTACAGACTCTGTTCTGTAAAAGTAAAAGCTGTGTACTGACAACATAAGACTTACATGCAGTGTACAGACAATGCATGGACATATATCACACAGAGAATATCAGTATGTTACATGTATATCGATTATGGAGAGCAGAAAATGTAAATGTCCTGTTAACAAAGACATATTAAGAGATGATATGTATATCTGACAAAAGATAACTTTCTGTAAAATAATGATTTTGTTTTTCTCCTTTTTTTCTTCTTTTTCACAATACAGACAAAATGTGTACTACTTACTAACATGAAGTCTTTATTTACATGTACATCGCGATTAAAAATAAACCATGTAGACATACTGTGGCTAACTAGATATAATGTTCATTTGTTTGCAAATGTACATTTGCTTAATGAAGAACAAATTTACAAAAGACAATAACATTGCTTTCTTAATCTGGCACAGATACAACCTGTATGTCTAGAAACAAAAATGTAAGATTGTTGGCATTGTAAATATATGTACGAGTCAAAATGTATAATTGAAAAGACAAAGTGTATTATTATGTACATGTACTTTGGTAACATTCTGTACGTGTACTTGTGCACTGCAAATAGTTATTTTCTCTCAAATTTGGTTTGTGCAAAAATATTGTGAAGAAATAGCAAAGGGATAAATCTGAATTTTATGGAGCATCATTTTGTTTAATCAACATTTACTTTGTATGCAAGATTGACTATGGTTGCGTTTATTGACCAAATTTTTGGCTAGAATCAGGTTTCTCAAACGCCTTTCAGGCAAATTTAGAAGGTGATAAACGCAAAGCCTTTTTTAAAGGTCTTTAGATATGGGCATATCTAAAGACGCAAAAAGGTGTGTTTTGAATGTGACAAACAGTTTTGAACCCCACATACAAATCGGACCACCCAGGTTAAGGGTTCAGAGGCTAGCGCGCGCCATGTGTTGTGTACAAGCATGTGTGTGTAGTTGACCTCCGAGAAACTGTCTGCTTCCCGGGTCAAAACAGCTGCGCAGACACAAGGCCTTTATTTTGAATCGTGAAGAGACGATAAACGCGACATCCCGCAAATCACTTTCGTATAGTGGGGTTCGATAGTGGGGTACGATATGTACATATCTAGTGGCATGCCCCAATAAATGCGCCCTGAGTTAAGAATATGTTTTTTTTTTCTGGTCAGGTGTTTAAATTAGCTTTCCCTTCACAGTATTATCACATCAATATTGTATGTATTCATTTTGTAAATGTTTGAAAGCATATAAAAATTCTAATGATATACACATTGAACAAAAAATTATACCAAGAAACAATTTGTATTTGTTCCATTTTGAAGTGTTGATCAATGATCATACAGTGAAAAGTATACCATTCCTTTGGAAAATACATACATGCACAAGCATATATCGGTAGCTTGGCAACATTTCATATTTTTTTCTACATGTAATGTTTTCATTACTCTTAAATTAACGGCCAGAAATTGAAGTTAAAAAAAAAATTAATCACAATATATATATATACTGACATACTGTGTATTTCCACTCTATATTTCTTTCCCCTTGTTCTTTCTTTGGGATTATGGTTAGCAAGCTGTATAATTTGATAGTATTTGTTCATATTTATTTGTATATCTGGGCCCTGTCTTCTGAACAGTTGTGAATGATTCAGATCAATCACAACTCAACTTGAGGAATGGCAATTGATTTGGATCAATCAGAACTCTTTACATGACAGGGCCTCATAATAAAAATGAAAAGACTGCATATATAAACCCCAGTGCATTTTTATGTGCAAACTTATAATCGGTGTAGGTGTGTCAAATGTCAATGAGAAAGGTACATACATGTATCAACACATTCAGTAACAAAAACTGTACATAATAAGAAATTTCAAATCTTCATATATAACTGTAAGTTTAAAACAAATTTATTAACAGATACAGATAACTGGAACCATCATATTAAAAGCAAAAGACATATCACAAGTACATGTAAATGGGGATGAATTTTGTTCCCTTCATATCACTAAGATACTTTCAAAAATTTGTAAAGATAAATTCTGTTTTCTTTCAATCACTTCAATCACCTGACATGCGAAAAAGCACCGAGTAAACAAATTGGAAAAGTTGCTTCCAAACCTTTTTGCCTTCTTTATTTAATGGTAAATGAAGAAGCTGTGTTTAATATCAATGAGTATGTTGCATGTAGGGAAACCTTACCTGCATTCAAGCCTGGGTTGGTGTAGTCATATGTCTCTCCATCATTCTTGTAGACAGTCAGGGTTTTAGGCTGCATTACAAAAAAATAGGAGTACGTCATATCAACATTTCTTACCAAATTGCAGTCTTTGACAGAAAGAGCATGACCATTTTCACTGCATATGTTCAATATAATAGGAAACATTTGGGGATCTACATGTAATTGAAACAAAAAAAAGAATACCTCTTTCATTCCATAAGTTCTTTGAGTAGATTTCAATGAAACAGCTTTTTAAAATCTGTATTATCAAATGGTTAGATTTCATACTTTCAACCTTGTGAATATTCCATTTACTTTACCCAACCTTTAGAAAATAGCTGAAAGTAGCTGGAGCTGGATAGGTTTATCGGAGAGTTGCAGTTAATCTATTTATCACAAGACTAAGGAGAGAACAAACTTGGTGGGTAGAGTACAGAATGGCAGAATCACATACATACCCTTGCAAAGTCGATCTTGAGAGTGCAGCAACCAGAGTAGATGTCACAGTTATGCAGGTTCTGCTTGGCATGAGTGGCACTCTGGACGGTGTCAAACGTGCTCAAGGAATTAAGGAAAGTTATTGCTTCACCAGCACTATTAGTTATCAAATACATACTGAGGATCAGAAGAAAAAATGAGAGTTGATACAAAATTACTAACTGAATAAAAGGCAGAGGAATCCCGAGACAATCTGCTAATTTGGAGTCATTTGAAGAAAAAAATAATCAATCAAAACAATGGAAAAAAAAAAAGTCAAGTACTACAACATGGTCTGAACCAAATTAAAATTGACAGTTTGCCAACTACATGTACAATAGTATGTATGTGCTGACAAGAAAGGTTATAATTAGGTACATGTACACCGGGCGATTAATTATACCTTTCCCTAAGCTGCTATACCTGACCTGTTTATTTGACAGGACATGTACAGGAATGAAAACCGATAAAGGTGCTATAAACCAAACTTGCAAAGTCTAGGCTAACTGATCACACACAATTTAATGTTAAGATTGTTCATTCATGCTTGCACAGGCATGTATAAAAATTACTTCTGACTTTTCTTTTTTTTTCCTGTGCTATTTGGGGATGGGAGGAGAGGGGGAAATCGAGAAATATAAGAAAGGTAGCAGAATTTAGTAAAAAGGATATTCCACCATGGCTTGGACTCCATTCTTCTTGAAGATGACAATGCGGAGGACATTTCCAAATCCTTTGCAGATGGTATGAATGACATCCTGAAGAAGAAGACACAAGTGGTAAAACAGAAATTATAAAAACTGTTCGTGAAACAGAAAGGCACATGACAAGTATCTTAATTTACCCATTCCAGACACATACATGTACTGTGAAACATTGGAAGTGCTTGGTCCTTCAAAAGGGATGCAAATGTCCTATGAGTAGAATAACAATACTGAATGCACGAAATGAACCTAATACACTTTCCACAAGAGCAGATGGACATAGAGAAAAAATATCATTGTCAAAGAGATTAAGTACACTTTATCCTTACCTGGCATATGTGACTGCCATAACATATAAGAAATAATTACAATCAAGTTTCAACAAAAGAGGTTTACTTGATTCTCCCATCCAGTGTTACATATCTTGAAGTAAACTTAAACCTAAACATGTATGCTTCGCTTCTTTTAATTTTAGATTAAAATTTGCATTACATTCACCCACGAAGGGTTTATAATTCAAACTTACCGTGGTGATTCTATACTTTGGCCTAACCACTGTCATGAGAAGTACATTGTTTGCTTCGCTGTCATTTTCTCTGTATTAGAGGTAAAAATATCAATGAATTATTTGTTTCATATTGCAGATCCCATTCATCCATATTTCTAAACAGATAATTGAAATATGAGTGTACCAAGATTTTGTTAGGAGGTTCCCTGTACAAACTATTTGATTCTGCTACTTGACATACAAACAGAAGATGATAAAAGAGAAAGTGGAACACAAAGAAATAGACCTCAAAAGAGTGTTTTCACTAGAAATTCACTAAATACACACCTGTAGTTTGACAATTAATTATTACACAAATATAACATTTATAATTTGCTAACATAATTTTCAACAACATGTCATTTTGTATGACCGCAAATTACATGAGTGTTTAGTGTAAGCCTGTTTAGAAATTACACAATATGTTCACATTGCAGACCTACATGTAGAAGCATATCAAGGACATCCCACATATCGCATATATCTGAAGTACGCATAAAAACAACACCATATGAATATAATTTTTGTCATTTCTCACACTCCATTAAAATCAGTAATGCAAATACGGATGATGAGTATACTGTAAAAACAAAAAAAGTTCTCACCCAGGTCGGATGATCCTGGCACTGTTGGAGTAGTCAAAGAAAGCTGGCTTTCCTCCAACATTGATGATGTTATCTGGATGAGCCTACATCAAAATTACATAGAATACTTTAATGATAAGAAGGGAAACGCTCTCGGCGGTCTCGCCTGAATAACGCAATTCAATATGATAAACCAGAACGTCTATGACGTAGCGCTCATCTGCATCTCGCAACAACAAATATCGTAAATTTTTTGTGGTACACTTTTGAACTGGTCAAAAAATAAAAATTTGAGGCCCTGGAAGGGACACAATTTCATTTCATTTGCATAAAGTACCATAAATAATCAATGGAGCAAAATCTCACAATTCTGTGTAGAAGTTTAGTGTTCCAAATTTAGCTCTACCAGATAAGGCAAACCAAATCAGTCAAGAAATGAGGGAAAAGAAGCAATTTTTGTTATTTTTGGAATAAATTTGCATAAATTACCATAATTAATTAATGGAGAACAATTTCCAAATTCTGTGTAGAAGTTTAGTGTACCAAAGTTAGCTCTACGATATAAAGCAAACCAAATCAAAATCGGTCAAGAAATGAAGGAGAAAAAGTTTTTTTTTGTGATTTCGAATAAATTTACATAAATTAGCATAGACAATGAATTTCACGATTCTGTGTAGATATTTTAAATCCCCCTCCTAGCCCTATCATATGAAACAATCAGAATCAAAATCGGTTGAAAAATAACGAATAAAGAAAATCTTGATGTTGATGCCACAACAAAGTCTAAGTTTGTACATCTTAAATGACCTTTGACCTTAACTTAGTGACCTAAAATTCTACTCACATGATTGGGGAGACTTGATAATCCTATAGTCCAAGTTTCATTGACTAAGAACCTATACTTTCAAAATTATATCAAAAATTCAATAACTTAACCTTACGTTAAGTTTTCGATGATGATACTACAATATAGTCCAAGTCTGTCGACCTGAAATGACCTTTGACCTTGACTTTGTGATCTGAAATTCTACTCACATGATTGGGGATACTTGATTACCCTATAGTCAAAGTTTCATTGACTAAGAACTTATACTTTAAAAATTATATCAATTGACGCCGCCGTCGCCGTCACCGGAACAGCGGCGCCTATGTCTCGCTTTTTGCTACGCAGGCGAGACAAAAATCATCATACAGAGGAATGCTGTATAACCATTATGCTAAACTTGGAAGGAGAAAATACAGTGATATTATGTAGTCTTGGCATCCATTTTTGTAATTCTTTTTAACGTATACAGTACAGGTATCTTCTTTCTATAAAATTCAATTATTGTTACCTATCACTTTAAACCAACAAACACAATAGCTTAAAGCAATCATTACTTCTTTTTAATCATCCAAATCTAACATTGAACTTCCTGAAGAGGAAAAAGCGAAATCATGAAGATGAAGACAAAATTTATGACTCACCTGTGTGAATTCAACACAACTTTTGGAGCTCTTCATTTCTTCAAACTCCACTAGTGCTTGACCCTTCTGAATACGATGGACAAAGCTGTGAAACAAACATCAAAGCATTGCACCATCAGTCACTTATTGCTCACAAGTCCTTGTTCATAACAGTGCTGCCTTGGAATACAAAATGACTTAAAGATAGTGCTGTAGTCGAACCACCGAACCGAACGGAAGTTCGCCGAACATGGCACTTCCGAACCCAACCCAACCCAACCCAACCAAACGCAAAGGCTTGGTTCGGATGTTCGGCAGAAAAAAATGTAAACGTTTTTGCAAGCTAAAAAAGAAAAAAAATAAAAATCCTCTGAAAGAGAACAAATGTGGACACTGTAAGTAAACAAAGGGCTCAACAGTAATGCAAGCAACAATCAAAATTATCTTTCTTCTTCTTTTTTTCAATTCAATAAAAACACACACAATTTTTTTCTAACAAAAATGTAACAATTAAAAAAAGGCATCAAATTGGAGGCCCAGAATCATACCTAATTGGTCCAAAGGGCTGCAGGGCTTCAACCAGATCAGCATCGCTAACATTCTCAGAGAGATTGCTTACATGGACAACGCATGATGGCAGAGGCTTGTGCTGATCGTCAAATAAATCCTGTCAATAAATGCATTATAGAAGTGCACATTGTTACTGTAGCACCACCTTAGGAACAGTAGAGCAATGATACATCATCTCAACATAAATAAATAAGTACATTTTTTTTTTAATGTTACAGAAGGGATAAATTCTATACCTTATAAGGAGCAAAGATCACAAAATAAAAATGTCATGAATCACAAACTTCCTCCTCACTCTTCAGTGTACATACATGAACTCTTCTTTTTTCCCCATCTTGTTTTTCTGTGCACGCATCATCAGAACCTGCAGAAAGCTAGGCACACAAATGATGGTTTGGAAATGCATAAGTTGCAGCACTACATGTAGACTAGATGCGCTTCACACGTACAGAAATCTGAAACTTAGCTTCTTGCAGTGAGTTGGCACTAATCAGCCAACAGTTTGGATATGGCAGGCTGGAAGAATATATCTTTTTTATTATAATGTTTTCGGTCTTTTCATGTTTAATGTAAGTAAAAAATAACATACAAGTGTAAGAAGAGAAAAATAGAGCCCATTGCCGATAAATATTAGCCTAGAAATGACCACCTGGGGGCCGTTTCTCGAAACCAACTCCATGACAGTCATATCTTTGTCGCCGACCTACGGAGATGTCATGAAGCGGATAAACCGTTTCACAAAGCCATGACAGACATGATATCGATATATCGCGATACTAGCAGCTCAAGAACATAGTCTTTGTCACGATCCATTTGATTTATGAAAAATAACCCAAAACAAGTTTTGGGGCTAAAATTGTTCAAAAAGAAATATATACATATAAATTCTCCTAAAATAAATAATAAATAGTGTCATTATCATATTTACATCATCAAATGATTTGCATATTTCTGTAAAGATTCTTAAATTGAAGAAAAACCGATGAGTGTTTTTTTTCAACAGTCGAATCAAAAGTTAGTTGAAGGATACCGTAATGTGATAGTTTATCAATACGTACTTTTTTGTTTATTGTGACGAGAAATTTTAGGCAAAATGTCTTTTCTCAGCCAGTTTTTATTCCAGAGTCTCATAAATACTCGTTATATAATTGATTTGATATTGAAAATATAATTTGGAAGAAGTAATTAGAGAGGGAATAATAATGCACATAGGCCCCAAAGGTACATGTATGACGGTATCCTAAGAAAAGACTATGTATCGACTATGGAAAACGGTGTGTAACATTCTAACCTCTCTTATTTATATGTTATAGTTTAATGATTTGTGATTTAATGTTTATATTCAGCTTTTTAAAGTTTCTGTATAATTTGTATTCTCACTTTTGTATATTTGTATTTCGCATCCCAGAGAATTACGTACCGAACTCGTCTATATTTTTCTCAAAGTGATAGTGAAACTAATCGTCCATTTCGCGGCCCATGGAATGGCAACAAATTGACTTGTGATGGCGCTTTACAGCGATTAAAAAGATATGACAGGTTCGGAGCAGTGACAACTCGCTTGTCGCGGAAGTTGTCGCTCATCTTGGCAAAGACGGCTTCGTGAAACACTTAGCTGACAAGTTGCGCGACAGTGGCGAGATGTCGTTGATCTTGTAGTTATGACGGTTCCGAGAAACGGCCCCCAAAGTACCAAACCGAAGAAAAAAATTGAGAAATGTCTACCATGATTCTGGAGTGTAAAAAATGGCCACTTGACCCGAGAGTCTACTGCCCAAAATAAAAATATGATTTTCTGAAAATTGGTGTGTTATTTTCTCAGTGCAAATTTACTTCACTGGTTCAAAATCACCCACATTCTGACCCATGCACGTCATCTATCCACTGTCGAAAGAAAATTGAGAGTAAGGACGATTTGACATAGAGTAAAGGAGCCGGTAATCGGCCAGCTCCCGTTTTCGGCCGATTGGTTGGATGCAAGGTAAAATCACTCTAAAATACATCGCATAATAGCATAACACATATCCCACACATACCATACCATGCCAGTGTCACTGAAGAACCATATTTGCAATGGAAAATATATCCTAAAATATCACATTTTAGCGACGTAATCGCCGGTCCCGCTACCCAAATCTGAAAAATCGAGTTTCTTACGCGTGTACATGTATGTAAGAAATATGGGTACCATAAAATCAGCTTTATTTCAAGTATTTTTCAGATTAAGAGCCCGATTTTGTGTTAGTCGCAAGCTCAAAAGTATCTCATCGCATGTATTAAATCAATGCAGCCAGACCCTGCCACGCACACACGATATGTCTGTCTAATTCAGATTCCAACTTCCGATCACCGCTGTGCCTGTCTTCGGCCAGGCGAGCACCAGGGAGCTCCGGCGTGGGATACCTGCTCCGCCCGCTTGTGCTGTACATCAGCACGGAAACGCACGGCGCGCGCGAGCGCTTCCAATTGACTTTGTACATGCGGCCGTAAACTGAAACGCTCGGCCGATAACTGGCTCCAAAACAGTGAAAATTGAAATGAATATTGTCATGGCAATTCGTGATTTTTTTCTGGGATTCTTTTTTTGTTTAAATAATAATAATATTTGCTTCATGATTTGAACAAGAAATGATAATAAATAGGAAGTAAAGAGTCCTAAAAATAGGATTTTGTCTTAAGTGGCCGAAAACGGGCTCCTTTACTCTACTGTACAGTACATGTAGGCCCACATTTTTCATGTCCAAATATCTGGTCAGTTTTTCACTCATTTATTTAGTTCTACAGCCGGTACAGGCTAGGCCTACAGCACCTATACAATTTCCTGCTGGTGTGGTTCAGACTAATCAATCGTCTGATTTTTTTTTAAAGTCAATTTTGTGAATATATTTTTTAATATGAATTTGCTTAGCATTTACACATGAGAAGTATCACAGGCACGAGGAGAGTACAGCCTTTCAAAACATTTAAAAGCTGAATAACATTCGCACGACATTCCACACGCGTACATCCATCCAAGCCAAGCCAAGGCCGCAGGCCACAACACAAGCTGAAGATCGAGGTGAGCTGAGCTGAGCATGCAAGCGGCAACACTGCTGCACAAGCCTGTCGGCGTTTGGCTTGAGCTTGAGCTGCTAGCTGTCAGGTCACAACTAAAAATGTCATTGCAACCAATCATTTCATCACAGACAAGTTATATTATTGATCATATAAGCACTTGATTGCAAATTAAAGTTATACCCTTGCTCCAGATTGTATTCCCCTTCCTCCTGTATCTGTTCTTTGACGCTTTGTAGCATGTCCTTCGTAATTCTGATAGGCCTCCATGTTGCTTGATGAAAAAGATAAGCGCATGCGCTTGACCTTATAAGCTTTTCCCGTAGAGGGCGCCATAGTAAAATTGCGGAGAGATCCCATGTCAAAATTGTAACGCTCTTGTAGTTGTAGAACTCCCCTGACGGGAGTCGTACTTTTTAACTTCACGATCTCACGAGGAATAAACTACACTATCAAACAATCAGGTTATATAATATTAATAACAATGAATTTATTAAAGATAATCAACAAAAATCATCTGGTCGTATAATAACGGTCGTGTACACATAATAATCATGTGTTTCCGGAGGGAAGAACGCCCTCAGAAAGCAAATAATTAACATACAAATAACAGTGATCATAGTAAACGGAATCATCTCGAGGGAACCAACCCGGAGGTATAATCTCAGTCACGTTCAAAATCGAATGCAAGAAAATATAATCAGGCATCAAAAACAACAAATGTCAATCATCAAAAATCCAATAAAAGGGATCGTTAATTAGTTCAGCAAAGCGTTCAATGAAAATAAACGATCAAGCCAAATCAGCATTACCGAGGTCAGGTGATGACGATGCTGATGAAGGCGACGAAACGATGACGAAGACAGCGACGATGACGGATTGAAGACGACGATGATGACAGAAACGATGAAGACGTTGGTCTTGTTGATGAAAGTGATGAGACGATCAATCGATGGATGCGATGATGGTCGTGAAGATAATGTCAATGATGTGACGATAATCAGCGAGCCAGCACAGCACAACGGATGACGGTGAGGTGATGACGATGGCGTTCATCGTGTCAGCACAGCACAATGGATGATAGCAGTCGAAAAGATAATGAGGCGATGATGATGATGAGGTGATCGAGGTGATGACGATGGCGTTCATCGTGTCAACACAACACAATAGATAATGACGAGGTGGTGACGATGTCGTTCATCGTGTCACTACAACGAAGCAGATGATGGCGAGGTGGTGACGATGGCGTTCATCGTGTCACTACAACGATAAGTGTCAGTGGAAAAGACAAATCCAAGTATGTGCTAGTAAAAGCGATACAAGTCTCTCCACAAATGAAAAGTCACCCGGGAGAGGTCCGGGGACCAAGTCGGCGAGTCCATGTTGGACGAAAATTCGACCGGCACAGTAAACGAAAACACAGTATCGACCTGTGTGTGCCGATATAAATATTCCCTCTGATTTCCACATGGAAATATCAGAAAAAGCCCCAATCGCTGGTGTAGCGCGATTGGTCAAAACAAGCGCACAAAATTAATATGCATGTATACGCGCTGTACGTAACAATAACAATTCTGCACAACAAGCCAGACAGAGCCGGTTGGGACACGTCTGAAAAGCCAGACAGCGGACTACGCAAGGGAAATTAATTCTCCCTAGCCGCCATCTTGACAGTAAAAAAGCAATACTTATTAAACATGTACAATTCAATGCATAAAACATTATTATACATATAAAAGTTAAAATCGTGACATTTGGTCACTACACTCTCATAATTATCTATTATGATCTCAAGGTCAAGTTGCTAATACGGCATTTTCTGCTATTTTGCTGAACCACAGAACCAAGCTTTTACAACTCTCTACATACAACATCAACAACGAAGAAAAATAAGCACATTTTTAAATGTTCTATAAGGCGTTTGACCTCAGTAAAGTAAACTTGTATAAATATAAGGGTTGATCTTTTTAGTTGAAAATGTGAATAGAATTAGCATTGGCAAACGGGAAAAGAGGGAAGGGCTAGCGGCCAAAGCCCCCCCCCCCCTAATTCCCAGACTGATAGTGATAAACTACCCAACATGCGGGAAATCTTAAACTCATATTTGCGCAAGAAGGTCGCCTTTATTATTTTCTTGTCCAGCCTAATATACCCTAAAGAAAACAAATACAATAAAAAAGGCCAGTGGGTATATATTTCACAAACAGAGGCTTGTAAATTGACGAAGACTAAGTGGTCATATGTGTAAATTTTTTCATATCCTACTTGTAATGCAAAAGGTCGTTCGATCCCCGACACGGCACTTATGTCCTTTGGCAAGCATTTATCTATATTTTGCCGCACCATGTTTATCCAGGAGAAAAGGGGAACCCGGAAGGATGGTGAAAACCTATGTGTTATCAATTGACACAATCATGCTATCACGGTGTCCATTATTATGGTGGGAATAATCCCCAGGGAGTGGAGATTGTACACATTGTTCGTGAGTGAATATGATTAACGGAGTCTATATTTACGGTATTTCGTGATAAGCGCTTTATAAGTCCAGATTCTAGCTGTTATTATATCCTTCATCGTCCAAAACATGAAAACTCTATCGAAAATCAAACAGTAACAGTACAACACGAGAGGCTTGTCGAAATTAAAAAGGTCTGACTGTTTTTGCCTGACAAAGGCTATTGGCTCTCTCGCTAAATTTTAGAAAGTTTAAAAAGTCGAGGCAAGAGACGATTAAGACGTAGTTAAAATAACATATAGGTTATCGACCTTTTCATTTACACATGTAATAACAAAATGACAATTTTTTACTTGAAAAGGAAGTTTATATAGAAAGTAAATGTATTCCACGTATTTTTAAACATAATAAAATGGACCAGACTAAAAATTGCAAATTGTTTGCCTTGGCTTCCAACTTTTGACCCTATCTTCTCCGAGCATAGTTTGTTTGTTAGTGTGTTTTTTTTATTTATTTTTTTATACACCGTTGTCGTCGAGTCTTGGACAAATTACCCTAGCCACATCACCTTTAATTACTTTTCACATAAATTATGTTGCCCATAAATTTAGAATAATTTTCAGTTTCTTATCTCTTTTTCTGTATTGATGGTAATATTTATTACGATATATTCTCCAGAACTTTATCGAACAATATTTCTAAAACTTTTATCTGATCAATGAAGTTTTGAAAAGATAAAAACTTGATTTATCAAGAATAAATCAATATTGTCACAATTGTTTCATGAAGAAAAAAGGGGTTAAGAAAAATTATTCCAACTTCATTATTTATAGGGTATTTTAGTTTACCCCGAGACAAATCACGGTTCACATTTAAATGTTATTATGACAGGTTCCAGATGCGTAGCGTGTGTCCAGCCAGGGATATTGGTGTCAAGAGGAGGGGGACCGAAAATCAGTCTGGAACAATCATGTGTTACATAATTTTCTTTTTACACTGCCATTATACTACTTACTACTGATTTCCTTCAGTATAAACGTTATTTCCAAGAGCTTCTCCTGCAAGTGTGACTTTTTATTTTCACTGGGAAGCCCTCTATTGACCGAAACAACAAAATGTGGCATTATCTTTGGGGACCCAAAAAACTAAAACAACTAAAGTTATCGAATCGGGTCACCATTTTTTTTAAATTCGAAATACGAACATTTTCTGAAGCTCTGTCACTTTGCTCCCTCGCTCATGTTGCTTGAGCATCTCGTGATTTCCGCCTAAATATCATAGTTTTTAATTATTAATACTTCAACTTTTGTGAATTATTAAATTCTCTTTGCCTTGCTCCTTATTATATAAATTTTGTCAGCCTTTTGTCAAAATAATACGCCCTGAATAAAGGATAAAGCGAATATGGCATTTTCATAGGTTCACAATTTGAAAGAAATCTTAAGTGTCGGTTGCCTTTAACAGTTGAAACAGTTTTTGTAAATGTTGTGCGCCATTTGAGGAAGAAATCATGAATAGAAAACTGATTATCAGTGTTCAAAATTCGAAACGCTATACCGCTCGGTCGCTTTGCCCCTCTCTTGTAAGTAACATAAGATCTCCGATACGCTATAAGATATAGCATAAATGGCCTTAACAACAGTCTCGATGAAACGTGAATACCTTGATAACTAGCTGCTGAATATTTTATGTTTTATCCTCTCCCAATAATTTGTTAATTACGCAAAATTATTAGTTCGGCTCCCATCAATCAGGTCAAGATCTGCATCTCGCAAAATGTACGGCAGTGTTGTGTACCGTCCACGCAACTTTGCCTCGGTAACGCAGAAATGTGTTAATGATTCAGTAACTAAACACATTTTTGGTTTACAATGTTTGTTAAGTCGATTTGATACTAATTAGGATGTTTAATAAGAATACGTCTGTGCACTCAGCATCAGGAAGGTGTTAAGGTTTATGATTTTACGACTTGTTAATGCACATAGTAAATGTTTTAATAGATTTAAAACTATGTTGTGCGGCAAACATAGCACAAAATCAAATAAAATTAACACCTGGTTATCGCTAAAAAGTAACGATATAGCCTATTGGCATAGAAGATCAGAGATCAGGGTAGCTTGACTGTGTTCCCCCTCGTGAAATATACATGATACATACTTTGGTTCAAACGTTAGATTTGTCAATTGGCCAAACTTTTTACATTCATATTCGTATAATTTAATTTTTACAATAACACTTCATCAATATTATAATCTCTCTTATTTTTTTAAAGATAATTCCGAAAACGCCAGGAAAAAGAATATATTCATGGTTGTCATTCGAGAGACGCTGATCGACATGTGTGCAAATACAAGGCGATTTTCTGTGTGGAACCACTCGAAGAAATCGATACGAATATTTGTCAATGTGTTTAGTTTCTAACACTTATTCCCTTTCACTGCCTTTACCAGACAAATCCCCAGGCACAGTGTGCATTGTCGGACCGTAGCCGGATAGGAGCCCATTATGACCTGGATTAAAGATAACATGAAAGGAAGAAGAAGACTGGGGGGGGGGGGGGGGGGGAGCGAAAAAAGAAAGAGAAGAAGAAACACAAAACAAAAAAGAAAGGAAGAAGAAGAAAAGGAAAAATCACGAATGCACCCAAGTCTTCATCAGAAATGACATAAGGGCAAGAGCTATATAAATCCGTGGTTTGTGACTGCAACAAGATTAAAGTGTTTGAGAGATACAATAAACAGAAGTAAACAAGTATCCAATAATTGTAGATACTGTCAAAAGGTGCCGAAAAACCAGTAAAATCCTATTCCTAGAACTGCTGCTATATTATGGAGATCGAATCTTACATAATGACAACACTGTTACGTAAGACTAGTGATACCTATCGTTGGTAAAG